GCAACTAAGTGAAATGCGCTCATACAACTGGCATGCACTGAAATAATGAGTACCTTTTCGATGAATTGTGAGAACCACCTGGAGGCATCGTCCTTCCAGTGAAACTTTGAGCTGCAGACTAGTACAAAGTCATTTCGCTCAAATCCCAGGCTACATGAAGCCGAATCTTTAGGAACAAATATACATGCAGAGTGTTCATGCTCTCCACAGCATGCATACAGCTGTCTGAAAAGGAATGGTTATCGAGTCAGTGAGAAAACCTCACTTGGGAGAGAACCCTGTTGAAAAATGAGCAGGGCATTGCCATGCATTGATACCACCAGAAACAGAGTTTGCAAAAGGCCCCCAAGTGAACAATGGATTGCCAAGCTCTCAGCCTGCATTCTGACTATTCACCTCCTGCAAAAGGCCTAGCATGGATTAGCAGCACAGAGAGCCCTCAGTCATAGTATTTTACATGAAGCCCAACATGCTCCATTTAGCCAGCTGAAGGATGATCACCAGATCATTAAGGGTTGCCTGCAGCAGACCATTTAGGTTCAATCGGTCTCTCAGTGTGTTTAAACTAATCCAAACCTGATGTCAACCATGCAAAAAGGAATGGATCACGAGTCAGTCAGCACGCCATCACTTCAGAGTAAAAGCTGTTTAGAAATGAGCGTGGTCTAGTCATGAAGTCAGCCCGAGTTGCCAAAGATAGCAGATAATACAATCAAATACTGTGGAGAGAGATGCAGTGAGCCTGCATTCCAACGGCTTTGTCTCATACAGACTACTGAGGCACTTTCAGCAGCACAGAGATACCTCACTCCAACTGTGCGGCATTTGCCTGAACTTCAGTGCATGATTAGGCCCATGCTGAAACTGCCCTGCCTAGTTTGACTCCAGCGCACTGCTTATGGACTTTTCAGCAATGCAGTCCACATGTCCTCACACTACCAGCTATGCAGCAGTCCACTCAGGACTGGCCAGTCCACAGTGCTCTGGCCGTGGTCCTGCGAGCCACGTGTTGGACACTTTCAGGATCCTTAGGCATGCAAACATGCTTGCATCATGGTACAGTCAGGCATAGAGAGGTCTGGCGAGTAGCGGGAAGCACACAGCAAGTCTTTGCTTGATGCATCTTGTAGGCAGGGCTCCCATCAGAACCATTTGGCCACACAGTGAGCACACTCTTGTCGCTGCCTGCCCCTCGCGAGCAAAGGCTCAGAGTCGAGAACCTGAATAAGAAGGCCCTTCCCCCAGATATCCAATGGCAGAAGGTTTGAGCAACCAATGAAGGTGCAAGGAGCATGCATTCAAACTTTGCTGCCTCTTACAGAACAACTAGGTACCCTTCACAGCTGGGAGAGCCATCACACATACCTTTCTGCATATCCCAAACTTTGGTGACTAGTCAGCTGCACAGGGAGCTAGCCCTCACTTGCTATCTCCTCCAGGGATATGTTTATGTAATCTTTAGCTGTGCAGTGAGACTATGCTCAACCCGACAGGAAAGCAGCATGCTTCAGAAGGCCAGTGAGAGAGACCACAAGCTCACGCAGACCTGACTTTCATAGAGTGAAACATTTAGGACATTTTAGGCATTCAGGGAACACGCACACCCAGAAACGATCATACAGAGGTCTGGAGAGTCATTGGACAACATGCAGTGAGCCAGAAGCTGCTCGCAGCCATGAGCCAGGGCCACGACATGAATGGATAAGCCATGCAGTGAGCCTGCCCTCCTCCTGGAATTAAACAGGTGAATGCCTTGTGTTCGACCTAGCATTGCAGACACGTTAGAGTAATAACGCGTTGAAAGTGGGAGACACGTTAGAGTCATAAGGCACTGAAAGCTGCTAGACACAGTGCGAGCTGACCAGGCCCCTGGACTTCAAGCACTCCACAGGTGAGGTACTGCTTTCAACTAACAGACCTGCACTCATATGGTGCTCATGCATTGAAAACTTTCCTACCTGTTCGTCACATGGTGAGAACCCCGTGGCGTCGTCCTCCCTGCAGTGCAACGTGGAGGTGCAGACTGGCGGGAGGTGAGTTCACTGTCATCCCAGGCTCCAAACAGGAGACTTTTCAGGAACCGCTACTCACACAGAGTACTCCTGCTCTCCAGAGCATGCATACAGCCACCTGAAAAGGAAGGGTTATGGAATCAGTGAGAAAACTTCCCATGGGAGAAATTCCCATTGAAAAATGAGCAGGGCAAGGCCATGCATTGATACCACCAAAGACGCAACATTACTCAAGGCCCCCAATGGAACAATGGATGGCTAAGCACTCAGCTTGCATTCCCACTAGCTGCCTCCCTCAAAGGCCTACCATTGATTGGACACCCAGAGGGCCCTCACTCCTATCATTGTGCATGAAGCACAACCGGCTCCATCCAAACAGCCAAATGATGAGCACAAGATCATCTAGTCTTGCCTCTAGCAGGCCCTTTAGGTTCCCTGGGGCCCACAGTGTGCTCACACTCACCTCAGCCTGAGGCCAACCATCTGACAAGGAATGCTTCATGAGTCAGTCAGCCTGCCGTCACTTCAGCCTGCAACCTGTGGAGAAAGGA